GGACATGTACAAGTCCATAGGGCCAGATGGATTGCACCCAAGGGCTGGGGGAACTGGCTGATGTGGTCGCAGACCTTTGAAACTCATGGTGATCAGGAGGGGTCTCAGATGACTGGAAAAGGGCAAACAGTGCCCATATTTAAGAAAGGGAAAAAAGGAGAATCAAGGGAACTACAGACCAATCAGCCTCATGTCAGTCCTTGGAAAAAATCACGGAGCAGATCCTCAAGGAATCCATTTGTAAGCACTTGGAGGAGAAAAAGGTGATTAGCAACAATCAGCATGGATTCACCAAGGGCAAATCATGCCTGATTGCCTTCTATGATGAGGTGACTGGCTCTGTGGATGAGGGAGCTTCGGTGGATGCGGTGTACCCTGATTTTAGCAAGGCTTTTGATATGGGCTCCCATGACATCCTTGCAGGCAAGCTAAGGAAATACAGGCTGTATGAATGGACTGTAACATGGATAGAAAACTGGCTAGAGCATCAGGCTCAGAGGGTAGTAATCAATGGCTTAATGTGTAATTGGCAGCTGGTATCAAGTGGAGAGCCCCAGGAGTCTGTCCTGGGACCAGTTTTCTTCAACATTGTCATCAACAACCTGGAAGATGACAGAGTGCACCCTCAGCAAGTCTGCTGATGACACCAAGCTGGGAAGAGTAGTAGATACACTGGAGGGTAGGGCTAGGATTCAGAGAGACCTAGACAAATTGGAGCATTGGGTCAAAAGGAATCTCATGAGGTTCAACAAGGACAAGTGCAAAGTCCTGCACTTAGGATGGAGCAATCCCATGCACCGGTGCAGGCGGGGGGCTGACGGGCTGGGCAGCAGCTCTTCAGAAAAGGACCTGGGGGTGACAGTGAACAATAAGATGAATATAAGCCAACAGTGTGCCCTTTTTGCCAAGAAGGCTAACAATATACTGGGCTGCATTGGTAGAAGGGTTGCCAGCAAGTCAAGGGAAGTGACTGATTATTCCCCATTATTTAGCACTAGTGAGGCCACATTTGGACTTCTGTGTTCAGCTTTGGGTCCCCCACTACAGAACCGATGTGGACAAGTTGGAGAGAATCCAGTGGAGGGCAACAAAAATGGTTCAGGGTCTGGGGTATATGGCTTATGAGGGGAGGCTGAGGGAACTGGACTTATTTAGTGTGGAGAAGAGAAGACTGAGGGGGGGGATTTAATAGCAGCCTTCAACTACCTGAAGGGAGGTTTGAAAAAGGATGGAGCTGCACTGTTCTCAGTGGGGGGAGATGACAGAACAAGGAGCAATGGGCTCAAGTTGCAGCAAGGGAAGTTAAGGTTGGATATTAGGAAGAATGTTCTTACTAGCAGGGTAGTAAAACACTGGAACACGTTATCTAGACGGGTGGTGCAATCTCCATCCTTGGAGATTTTTAAGACTCATCTAGATAAAGCCTGGGCTGGGCTGGGCTGATCTAGTTGGGGCTTGTCCTGCTTTGAGCAGGGGGTTGGACTAGATGGTTCCTGAGGTCCTTCCAACCTTCATTTTCTACGATTCTGCGTGACCAGACATCTCTCTACCGACCAACGTTTGCATACCACTAGGTTAGGACGTTTCATGCCCCTTGTAGTATTGCTTTCTGAATTGGGCCAAAGTCTAATTTCCATAACATCCTCTTGAGCACACCTCAAGCTTTTACCTGTACCATTTTCTTTCTGTATACAGGAGCTGTCCAAGATGGGCCTCGGTAGTGACATAGATCTTCAAATTGTGCAACTGCCAGTGTCCTACCAAAAAACAAAGGAGCTTGTGTGGAAGATTTGGACGACTCTTCAACCACTAGTGAGTAACTAGAGTTGAATGTTTTTTTCTCTTAAAAGTGAAGAGTAGGGTGAGTGAAAAAACCCAATTCTTTAAGCTATAAAAAGCAAAAAGTAGCTTCCTCCTGAACACCCTTCCTTTCACATGAAAAAGGATTTTTCAGTGACTTGAAGGGACAGCAAGTGAGGCAGTAACTGTTCTGACGACAAGGAAATCTAGACAACCACGTATTTGAGAGCATTGTGGAAGTCCTTTCATCAGTATAGCGTCTATGAGCCACCAAAGATACCAGAATTTGAACTCTCAAATTGGTGCACAATGATTGCAGTTAACTGTAGGTTAAAGATGTGTGTTGTAAATTGGTGCAGTTTGAGATGCCTGCTAATGAGCAAAACAGGTGAGCTTTTGGGTAATGGAAGCACAACAGCAGAGAGATCTTCTATCAGATGCAGAAGATACATTTGTTTGCATGCACAAAAGTGAAATCCAGAGTCCTCAGCTGACTAGACAATACAAAATAATGAGAATCCAGTTCTGCTGTCACAAGAGGTGACCTAAGTTTCCTATAGGCAGGAGAGTCCCTGTCTTTGCACTAACACTTTACGTGCTGCAGGACACTCTGAACAAAGTGTTTTATACAAAAAACGGTTCTCATTTTAATTTCTTCTCATTTACTCTGACGGCGGCGAACAGCTTACTGTTCACATTGGGCTTGCTTCCTCCTCCAAAGCAATCATCATCCTTGAACAGTGTGGGAAGAACAAAGGCTACAAAGAAAAGGATGTTTGTGGGTATTGCCCACAAGATGGCTGTTGTCTCTTAGATGGCCCAGAGCGGATTGACTCTACAATTGATATGAAAACTCTCTGGAAAACTGTAGCTGTGGAAGGGATTGACATCCTCTTCTCCCGAGATGCAGGAGGGTAAGTAAGGTGGGTTAAGAGGTCACACAAAGCATGAGGACTCATTTCACCTTCAAGACCCAAAGGACAGACTTCCTTCTTCAAATAGCACAAAAGACCGACTTTATGAGGAATTAACAGGATGCTAGCATCAAATCTAAAGTAAAATCTAAATGTTGTAGAAGAAAACTTTCATGAAAAGGCCAGTAGGGATTTTTTTCCATGAATCTGTGACTTCCAATAAAAACTAATCTTCACTCAAAGCATCCTCTAACAAACTCAGAACTTCATGGCACTGTTTGTACAGGAACAGAACTAGAAAGTAGACTAGAAATCTTCTTTCAGTGTCCAAACTGAGGGAGAAGAGTACCCAGCAGAGGACACAGTAATTGGCTACAGGTTTACAGTGTGGCTGCTCACACCCAGACTAGACTAACCCACTTGCTCAGACCCACCCCACATCATTCAGGTGAACCCT